GAAAGAATATATTACCAAGCTGCTACCAACTTTGCCCCGAACCAGTTCAGTATCCCAGATGCTGTCCAAAGCTTCTATTGAGTTACTGCGTCTCAAGCAGGCCATATGGGAGGAAGAGATAATTTGTCTGGTAATGCCTTATCTTTCATTTATAATGAATGTACTTAGATTGCAAATGTGTGAGTGTCTAAGCAGGACCACTGTATTCTGTTCCTCGGAAGCGATGGGGAAGCCTCAGGGCCAGAACTTACAGGGATACAGAGTGTCAGCAAAGCATGAAATGCAGTGATGTCAGGATGTGTCAGGACAATAAGAGCCTGGGAGCAGACACTGCAACAGGCCCTGCAGTCTGAAGCAAACAGAGTAGCAGCAATAGGAGTAAATTGGTTCTGCAAACTCAAGAGCAGCACAAGAAACTGCTAGGGCCTCTACCTGTCCAGAGAGCCACCAAAGCAAGTGTACACAAACTGAATTTAGTACAGTGAAGAAACAACTCAGGAGTCTGAAAAGGAAAGACCAAGTGTGGTGATGGTAGGAAGCAAGAGAATATGGCAACTTGGAGGAAAAGTGAAGCATTACAAGATGAAGAAAGTATACCACCCGCCTGAAATGCATTCACACATACATAGTTTTGCCTGAGTCCTAACTTCTTGCCACTGAGTAAATTCACAGGGGTCTTTTAATAGATCAAACTCTGTAGGCTTCCAAAGGTTCTGTTCCTTAGAGAACAGAAGGGCAAGCACAGTTCTTTGCTGTACTAAGGACTATTAAGAAATCATTTGTCAACAAGCAATTCATACACAATGTATATCAATCTGCTTGGTAAGACTTGGGTTTAAAGAACAGACATACAGACCAATGGAATCGAATAGAAAATCCAGAAATAAACCCACAGATTTATGGTCAACTAATCTTTGACAAAGGAGCAAAGACTATGCATTGGAGCAAAGAAAGTTTGTTCAATAAATGGTGCTGGGAAAACTGGGTCGCTACATGCAAAAGAATGAAGCTTGACCACTACCTCACACCATACACAAAAATCAACTCAAAATGGATTAAAGAACTAGACATAAGACCTGAAACCATAAAATACATAGAAGGAAATATAGGTGAAACACTACATGATCTGCATATCAAAGACATCTTTACAGACACATCACCCAAAGCAGTGATAGTGAAGGCAAAGATAAACAGCTGGGACTACATCAAATTAAAGAACTTCTGCACAGCAAAAGAGACAATAACAAAAACAAAGAGAAACCCCACCAACTGGGAGAACATTTTTGCACCCAACACTAATGATAAAGGACTGATCACAAAAATCTGCAAAGAGCTGATGAGACTCAACAACAAAGAAAATAACCCAGTCAAAAAATGGGCAGAAGAGCTAAAAAGAAACTTCTCTGAAGAGGAAATGCAAATGGCCAACAGGCATATGAAAAAATGTTCAACATCACTTGTCATCAGGGAAATGCAAATCAAAACTACCATGAGATACCATCTTACACCAGTGAGAATGGCACATATTAAAAAAACTAGCAACAACAAATGTTGGTGAGGGTGTGGAGAAAAAGGAACTCTCCTGTACTGTTGGTGGGAGTGCAAACTGGTCCAACCACTATGGAGAGCTGTGTGGAGATTTCTGGACCTACTAAACATAGAGCTTCCATATGATCCAGCAATTCCACTCCTAGGTATTTACCCAAAGGACACAGAAACATCAATTCCAAAGAACACCTGCACCCCTATGTGTATAGCAGCACTATCTACAATAGCTAAGCTTTGGAAACAGCCCAAATGCCCAAAAACAGATGACTGGATCAAGAAGATGTGGTACATATATACCATGGAATATTACTCAGCATTCAAAAAAGATAAACACATGCAATTTGCAGCAACATGGATGGCGCTGGAAGGGATCATGCTCAGCGAAATAAGCCAAAAAGAAAAAGAAAAATACCGGATGGTCTCACTCATAGCAGGAATCTAGAAAACTTAAATAAGGCACCAGGAAAATGAATAACTATAAGAAAGTGAAAATCAAAATCAACAAAAAACTATGAACCAGAGACACTTTTTGGGGGGTGGGGGCCGGGAGGGGAGGGATTGGGGTCAGAATGGGGCATGTGCAGTTGTATGGGGGAATATAAAAATAAAATTTATTATTTTAAAAAAAAAAAAACTTGGGTTTAAAGAACTTGAGACATGTATCCTGGTTTCTCGAAGACTTCTCCTCTTGTCTGGGACCATCTCCCATTCAATCCCTCGAATATCAGAAGCCAGGCTTAGCATAACGGCTGTGCACACTTTTTACTTGATCTAAGAAATATACAAGGTGAGTGAGTCATTCATTCCCCAGTCACTAACAATCCCACCCAATTCTAGGTTATCACACATTGAAAGTATGTTCTTCAGCAAACCCAGGATAAGCATGGGTGTCTGGGATTATATATCACAGGCCTCTTTTAGAACAGATAGATCACCCTCTTGTACCAAGAATTATAAACTACTAAACCCAGGAACTCCAAAGGAACAATGTGACTTTGAATAAAAATTCTGCCTCAGCAATAAACCAAATAGCGCTTGCCATGTCCCCACCCCCAAAATCAAAACCATCTGATACAAATCAATGATATTACTAATTTTTTTAAAAAGTTCCCATCTATAGAACTCAATGAAAATTAGACAGCTGTATTAGCCAAGAATTCAGTCTTTTATTCATCCATTCATTTTATACATAACAGTTTACAATATTCTGGGCCACGTGATAAAATGCTTAGGGTAGAGAAGGAAAATCAAATGCTTTGGTGCCTGCAATGAATAGGGAAAACAGGCATTAATCAAATAATCAGGCACACTTGGAACTGATCTCTTCAGTGCTGAATTTGGTGTTTTATGTACATTGTAGAGTTTAATCCTTACGACATCTGTGAGGTAGGTAATATCCCCACTTCATAATGAGGAAATGGAGATTCAGAAAGTGAAATACCTAAAGGTCACACCTCTGGTATAGGCCAAAGCAGAGATTTTTTTTTAATTAGGCTTTCTGCATGGGTGGGTGGCAGTCTGCTTAACAGAAAGATGACCAAAAGTTTATATTTAAGCACAGATTTTTCAAATGTCAAATTCTAAGTCACTGCTTATCATACCCTAATAATATCTTTAATGGGTAAAAAGTAACACGTAGCAAAGCTTTCTAAAAACCTAATACCACCACCACACCAATGCCAGCCTGAAATGCTTCTGTAGCTACTGGGTCTGTGGAACAGAGAAGGCATTGTGGGACATGCTGAGATTTCTGCACCCTTGAAGTAAAGTTAGAGACATAGACCTCAGGTCCCTTCCAGCTGGTGACATCAGTGTGCCCATGGAATGACTAGCAGCCACAGGATGACCTTGCTGTTGTGGCAGGTATCCACAGGGCAGAGGTTCCAAGCTCAGAGCTGCTATTGAGAAAAGGCAAAAATGACAGTCAGAGGATCCCTACAGTTCTAGGCCAGGTATCTAATAGCCAAGCTTAATTCTATCAATGCTTTAATAGGACTTTTCCTGCCTCACGGCTCTGTGTGCAATGTGTTTTGTTTTAACTGCCCCTGGAAGCTTAACTGCCCCTACATACCATGTCAGCCTAGGATTTCTGATAGACAGGTAGGCCCTTCATCAAGATGGACATGTTGCCAAACTGGATACATTAAAATGCTTGATTGCCTACCACCAGACTGTTAATCTAAACTCATGATCTTTTATCCATGCTTCTTGGGCTATGTGAGCAGAAATTGTGACTTTTAGACCCACTTAGTTACTGATAAGCACAGGGTTCTGTGTCCTTGGAATCTATGCAATAGTAGCCACATAAATACATCAACCTAAATATAATAAACTTATTAAATCAAAGAAGAGCCAGTCTTTCCAACCAGAGCTATATGAGATTCACATTCCCACCCTGCCTCTTGTCTGAGTTCCTCACTTTCATCTCCGTTCACAAAAATCACATACAGAAACGTGTCATCATTAAATTCCCAATTGTCTGAATGACCATAAATATGGGCAAGACACTATATTAAATTTGAGTGGTTCTTTTCTACCAAAAATATCCTTATTTCAATTCTTCAAGAAATAGATGTGTATTTTAGGACTGAGACAAGGGCAATGCTAGTGATAAAGTGAGGCATCTTACAGTTTGAGTAACAGAACACCTGAGTAAATCTAAACACCTGCTATCAGGTGGCCACTGTTGTTGGAGCTGGGGACACATCAGTTAGCAAGATGGCTCCTGAATCCCTGGCCTCGTGGAGCTTACATCCAAGCAGGTCACCTGCATTGACGTGAGTGGCTCATCCAGCTTTCTTCCATTGGGTGTTTGAGGAACTCTCTAGAAGTTATAGTGAGCAGCTTTCCTAGGCTTGTAAATACCAAACTTACACTCCAGATCAAAGCAGAGATGTATATGAAGAGAAAGGCCAACTACCACACCCTCTGCTTCTAGTAAGTGCTAGATAAATTCAACATATGCAGTGTTCATACACACACTCTCTTTACTACATCTTAGAAAACCACTTTGGGGTAAATATAGTTTAGTCAGATGTAATATTTTTACTTATATATAACAGGAACATAGTTTTTCCTGAGGCTTAGAAATGACATAGGGGGAATCCAGTATGAAGTAAGAGATGCCTGGGCAAACAGACATGCACACACATGCTCTCGGTTAGTGTTATTAAAGCCCCTAGATAAGTAGACGTCACAGTGTGTATGACTCTGAAATAGTTCAAATCTAATCAGAAAGGACAAGAGGATTATCAAGGTGATACTTTAATATGCTTTTCAAGGACTGTGCACAAACACTGAAATTGTAGAAGCTGACAGTACTGCACAAAGGACTTAATAATAAGCTAAATCACTCAGAAACCTTCAAAAATCAATTCTCCACCCCTAATCCTCCTCACCCCAAGATCCAGATTGATCCACAGGCTCATGTGCCAAGAGATGCTTCTGCTGTTCTAGGAGACATCAACCCTTTTCTGCAGGAAGCGCTTTAGGAGCCCCTGACGAATCTGCTTAGACTTGATGCAGTAGACAATGGGATTCATGAAGGGTGGGACCAAGAAGTGCAGGTTGGCCATGAGCACGGCCAGTGCAGGGTAGCTGTGTTTCTCTACTCGGTGCAACACAGATAGCCCCAGTTTGGGCATATAAAAGATGAGAACAATGCAGAGGTGTGAGACACAAGTGTTGAGTGCCTTGAGCCGTTCACCAGGTGATGCAATGCTCAGCACAGTGCGCAGGATCAGAGCATACGAGAGCATGATGAGAGAAGAGTCCAATCCCAAAGAAAGAAGGATAGAGATCAAGCCAAACAGACTGTTGACCTTGGTGTCTGAGCAGGCCAGTCCCACAAGGTCACAGTGCAGGCAATAGCAATGAGAAAGCACGCTGATCTGGGGAAAGAACAGACGCCGCAAGAGGATGGGTCCTGGGAGGTTGAGCAGGACAGCCCTCACCAGGATGGCAACCCCTGCTTTGGCCATGGCTGATTGGGTAAGAATCGTGGCATAGTGTAGAGGCTCCCGGATAGCAATATAACGATCAAAAGCCATAGCTAGCAGCACTCCAGATTCCACGTAGGTGAAGGCATGGATGAAGAACATCTGGGCTGCACAGAAATCAAAGGGCAGCTCACGAGCACCCAGCCAGAAGAGTCGTACCATGGTGGGGAAGGTAGAGGCACAAAGGCCTAGATCAGAGGCCGCCAACATGGACAGAAAGATGTACATGGGTTCATGTAAGGCTGAATCTGTGCGGATCAGGAAGAGGATGATACTGTTTCCCAGGATGGAAATCACACAGATAAGGTTAATGGGGATGGAAACCCAATGATGCGAAGCTTCCAGTCCTGGAAAGCCGGTGAGGAGGAAGGTAGAGTGACCAGACGTGCTGGTGTTGCAGGAGTACATGGTGATTCCAGGAGGGAGCTGTCCACCCTATGAGTAAGAATCATTCGTTCATTTGACTGTCACTTAAAAAGTCCCCTACGATGTATGGCTGGGAAGGAAGAGATACCCCCAAACCTTTTCTTAGTTCATGAAAGAAATTTCATTCCCCTAATGAGTTTCAGTCCCTTCCATCTCCTGGCTAATTTAATCTTCTTTAAAGTAGTATTGAATAAATTTTGTGAGATGACCTCTGCTTATTGCTCAGTATCCTTCTTCTCTTTGGCCTAAAACAACTTCTTTTTTTCACTTCAACAATACCCAAAGCCTATCTCTAGTGTCTTCTCAGAATAAATAATGAAGGAATAATTTTCCGTTGAATGTAGGATATTACAAATAAGTAATTGAGGCTATTTCTATTTATCCTTACAGGGAGAGTTTTCAGTCTGGGATAACTTAGCAAATACACCAGAAGGGACACATTCAAACAAATGATGTATTTTCAAAACTATCCTCTGAGGGAGATGGTTGGTTTTTCCTCTTTCAACATCATCTGTATTTTCCAGAAATGCCTTTGGAACACAAAAGTTTCTCCCTAATTATTCAATAGTGACAAATTCCTCACCTGTAAACACCAGTTGACTTACAGTAAGTGTTCAAGATTTCTTCAAAGCTAAGTCTGGTAAACAAGAGGAGCATGTAGACCTATTCACTTCTGTTAACTCCTTCCCCAGCTCCTCACTGGCTATCTAAAGCTTGCTCACTTTCTTCTGACCCTGCCCCTGAGACAGTCTTGTGGCTATGGACTCAATGAGAAATCACTTTCCTCTTAAATCTTTTTCAATCCTCTTACCATAAAATTTGTTATGACAGCACCAAGTGCTCTGAAGTTCTCCAAACTCGGGGGTAGAGCGGTGAGACTGGCAGGTCTTGCTGGGCACCACCTGAAGAGTCAGGAAGAGAAGCATGAGTTTCCTGAGACCACAGGTCCATAATGGCAAACAGGAGTGCAGTGTGCAATACATAATCTTGTCTTTTCTTTTCACGTCATATAGCACTTTCAGGCTACACAGTCTTCCCAGAAGTACTGCATCTCCATTTTTCTAAGTATCTTTGCATTGATACGCATTGTAAATCAACTGTCCTGCAGAATCACAAACTGCCATTTCTCTTTTCTCCCCAAAATTCACCCTCTAGTACCTGCTAGTCTTCCTGAATTTCTTGTTATTCATAAGATCTCCAGAGAGATCAAAATCTAGTACCTCTTTTCACTCTGTAACTTACTACCCAAATGAACTATCTAAACAATCCTTCCTTTCAGATCCCAGTGCAGCTAATCTAGCCAAAATCCCCATCCTTTTCCTAGATACAATAATCTCTTAACATTCTACTTTCTCTAGTCTTTCAATATTTTGATTCATTTTGCAAATTTCCATTAGAATCATGATCAGAATGCTCTGGAAAAGCACATGTGGACATTTTGATGAGTACGTGCATAAGGAGAAACACAGTAATCAGATTTGCTTTAGGAAGATGTCTCCTATCATAACTAATAATCCTCAGTTCCTGATGCTGCAGGATCCTTACATGGCATCCAGAGGGGGAAAGACCTTGACCATCCCACATGTGTAGCCCATCTCCCCTTATCATTCTAAATGGTAAAAGATTGCTTTCTACTCACCAAATTTAGCACATTTGATAATTCTTAAAATGTCTATTTTAAATATATAGAGAAGTCTACATAAGTGTAAGACTTGATGAATTTCCTCAGTGAACATACCCATGTAATAAGCACACGTAGATCAAGAAACAGAATATTGTCAGGCCCTCAGGGGCCTCCTGTGATGCCTCCCATCTTTGATATTCTCAATGACAGTCCCTGTCTGAACTTCTAATACCACAGATTCAGTTTGTCTGTTACAATCATACTTCCTTTGTTCAATTTCAAATCTATTGAATGAATGAATGAATGATTTGATATGTTTTACAAGTACTAAGTACTTATGAGTACTAAGCTGACCCTGTGCTGTGTAGGTACTAGGAAATGGAACATAGCAAGAAAAGCACACAGAAGACAAGAATACCCTCAAGGAATGGGTTCATTTGTTCCAATATGAATATGTACAATTCACCAAATCAGTTTCTGATGATTATTGATAATCAGAATAGTTACTATCATTCACTGAGTAAGGATGTCACCTAAACTCTTAGCAGTAAGGAGTAAAAGCTCAGATTGACTCATTTGACATAAGTCAGACATCAGGTGAGTGAGCTTGATTTTAGCTCAACACTGATTCTCAAGGTCATGTGCTATCAGCTCATGAAACTTCAGAAACAGTCAGCAAGACTTGCATTATCTGATGGTCTTCCTATTTGAGATGTGTATAAGAGACAGGCTTTTCCTCTGAATACAGCTTTGTTCATCCAGCAAAATGGCAGCTTGCGGTCCACCATGAGCAGTATTTCCACTGAATGTCATTCTACATGGCATCATGTCATTTTGTACAAAGCTTCTGTCCATAGCAGAGCAAAATGACACACCCCACCTGAAGGAAGTTTGGGCATCTACCTTCTCAGGCAGCAGACAATTTGCATCCCCTTCCTCCATGGTCTTAGAGACCTTTACCACACTGTGCTGCCATTCAATCTGCCTTTTCTCACCACATTTCCCCACTTTTGCTTTCTGACACTTCTTAGTGTTCTAAGTTTATTTAACTGGCAAAAGTCAAAAAAAAAAAAAACACACATGTCTTTAAAAGTGCTCTCTTGGGCCTCCCTGAGTTGTATTCAGATCACAAGGGGTTAAGACTTAGCACAATGAAGCTATCCACAGCCACTACAGGAGTTCCATCCCCAACCAGGGAGATACCCACATGGCACAACAGACCTCTCCTGACTCACCCGCTGCTCCCCTCAGCAGTGTATTTCAGTCAATCTGCCTGTTCTGCTCCCCACTTTGTCTCTGGTGAATCCTCTCACCTCCCCAAACCTCTGGTCTGTACCCCAGTTCTTGTATGCATAAATAAAAATCTTTTTAAAAAATAGTGCTCTCTCTACACATTACTAATCTGACACTGTAGGTCATTTTCCATTTTCTAATAAGGAAATTGGGACTCAGAAGCTAAGTAACTTTCACAAGGTCATGAATCTAGGTGGTAGGCCCAGATTTAAATCCAGGCTGGTCTGAAAACAAAGGTTATTAGCTTAACTGCTTCAAATAAGAAAGAGCCGTTCTGGCCCTTCATGGCTATTAGACCCTGCACCCTCATAACCTAAAGGCAAGTTTTTCTTCTCCCCCACCCTCATTTCCCTTTAGTGCAAATGCAGAATCTGAGGCCAGAGTGAGGTCATCTGCTAAGAGTCATTCTCAAAAAGTCCAGCCAGGTCTCTGCTTCCACCACTCCCAGTTTATCCAAAGTTTCCCCACAGATTGTGGGGAATGTCCAAGTTGCCTTCCACAGCCTTCCCGCATCCAAGACCCAAGAATGTGGTGGTGTCTAAGCAGCCGCCTCCTCCCCTGTTCTGCTGTTGCAGGAGTGACAAGGAGTCATCAAAATTTGTGCTCTTGTCAGGGGTGGGGAGTGGGAAACAATATCTCACAGAACAGGCAGATGTATGAACAGGCAAAAAAGGCAGATTGAATGGCAGCACAGTGAGGTAAGGGTCTCTAACATGGGACATGGGAAAGATTATAAACTGTTTAGCACATGGTAGGTATTTATTAAAATGTAAATAGTAACCAGACACACCCTAGGATATCCTATCCTTTCTCAAGTCCCCCTGCTTCCAAAACCTGTGAGTGGCAACACCTTCTTTCCTTAGGTGGGGAGACAGAATCCAAGAGGTAAGAAAACCTGTCAGTGGGCTTGTTTAGAGTGAGCAGAAGAGACTGTCCATTTGACTCCAAAGCTCATGCATCTGTCTGGTCCTCAAGCACTCTCATCTCCAAAATCTTAAAATATTTCTTTTGATCGTTGTAAATATTAAATGAGAATGCATGCAAATTACTGAAGGTAGTGCCTGGCATATAATAAGCATGAAATAACAATAATTACAGCTACTACTTATTGAGTATTTACTGAGCATTGAGGGGAATATAATTATCATTCCCGTTTCCATACTGGTCCAACGTCATGAAGTAAAAAAGTAAATGAACCAGAGTTCAAATCTCAGCAGTTGACTGCAGAGTCCACGTTTCATGAGCAGTTATGCTGCTTCTGTCTGCTGGCTGTGATGCTGATTAATACTAATGTGCCACAGTGTTCATCCCCAAAGCAAATAAAATCAGAGGTTTGTGGGACCTCCTCACTTTCTACTCCTGCCTCCTCCCTGACTGCCTCCACGCATCATCCATGAACGCCCCCTCAGCAAGGTTCTAAGATTGTGAGCCCTGCTTATCGACTGACCTGTGTTTCACACTGTGTTTAATTATAGGCCCACGTTTAGGAAAAAGTTTCTCCTCAAAGAAGTAATCTCCTTCCTGAGAGAGAAAAGAAATGTGATAAAACTGTCTGGAAAGAAAAGCAATGAAAGAGAAGTGTTTGCGGAAGACTTAGATCCAGAAAGAGCAGTACAGAGCAGGCCCTTCTGAGGATGTGAGGAAAAAAATTTAACTATACTCTGCCCCTCTATCACTTTCCTCAGTCAGATTCTTCCAGAAGACCATGAATAGTGCAAAGATAGACTTCCCTGATTTGGGAAAGACAATCTCCAAATGGCTTGTGGTTGCATTAGGAGTCATTGAAAAGAAATGACCCAGCTTAGCAAAGGTTGGAGACCCTTTTCCCACAAGATTTCTATGGCAACTAGGCATCAGCCTCCAGCACTCAAGGGGATGTGAGACTCTTTAAGCCTCTGGATTTGCTGGCTGAGTCCTGGGACTAAAGAAGCCCCAGCCCTGGGACCAAGAGGAAGGTTACAGAAAAACAGGTGCTGTCACTACAGCCCTCTCTTAGCAAAGACTGCCAGGAGCTGGGGATGCAAGTTTTCCCCAAGTTTGATAGTTGTGCTTTAGCCAAGATTGGCTCTAAAACTGGCCTGTTCAGAAATAAGTTTGGATAGTTTTGTGTAAGCCGGGCACTTGTAACTGGGCAGTCACAAACTGTCTGCAAGGCTGCCAGCTCCCAGGAAACAACTTAGACTCCCTCCACCTCCCACTGCTGTATTCTAGCCTTTGGAAGCTTTTATGTTCTAGGGATGAGTGGGAGGCGTGGGCAGAGGTATCCTACCCTCCACACACCCTTCTCCCCACACTGCACACTAACTAAGATGCTCAATTAATATAGTACTTGAAATCTGAAAACGATCAATGAAAATTGCAGTGAAATCTGAGTAAAGGAATAAAATTGCATTTCCTCAAAAGTTTTTCATTTGTTTATAGATCTGTGTGCATGTATCATATTGAAAATTCTAGAATAGATCATGTTGCAAAGAGTAAACATCAGTCTAACACAGTCAACCTTTCATCTGTGGCTTAATTTTTATCACTGCTGTTGGGATCCATATAGAAAAAAACATGATGGTTATTAAATTTGAACCTATCAGTTTTTTATTCTTAATCTCTAAATATTTTTCAGTGATGGACCCCCTCCAAATATGACTACGTAAGTGTTGCTCCATTTCAAAAAAAAAATGACAACTAAAATCCTTGATTATATTTAACTGGTGAAGCCTGATTACTTACAAAGAGATGCCATGGTCTGGGATGAATCAGGAATTTCTCTAATATTCAATGACATTAAACTGGCTGGTTGAGCATTAAGGAAAAGTGTTTTTTTTATCCTGAGGTATGTTTCTTAGCAAGGTATAATCAAGCTCCAAAAAGAGCACTGATAGAAGAGCTCATTGCAGTTGTCCTTCAAGTAGGCTGTTGGAGTAACTCTCACCTCTCAGGTTATTGAAAGACCTAGAAGGTAGTTGCCTACCCTAGACAGAGACTGGTCAGTGCTGCTCAGAGGTAGCAATGCTTATGTGGCAGGGGTACAAGCCTTGGGCTCAGTATCCTCACCCGAGACCAGCTTTGGCACCTCATTCGGGCACTCACCGTAGCTCCACAGACCGTGTCTCCTCTCATCTGTCCCTCTGTGAAATGATGCATTTCTTGCTATGTTAACAAAGACCAGTACTTTATAATCCTCCTGGTGAAGGTGGGGAAACAACAGGTCTGCTGGGATCTGGGTGCAAATCCAAGAGATTTTCATAGTTGCACTTCCTGAGCCCCCTGAGTGCTGGTCAGGCAGCTTTGGGACTTGGAAGGATGCATCGGGCAGTGCATTCTGGTGATTGTTCATTAGGGGCAACTGGAGGAAACTGGTGCCCAGTTCTAAGCACCTGCTCTTCCCAAAGAGCCACCCCCATGAATTGCCAGGTGACAGATCGGGACAGGTGGGAGCCAAGAGAATGGTTAAGACACACTGTCCTTCTGGGGCAACAGAGGCCATGAGGAATTTCCATTTCTAGAGAGAATAAGCGTAAGCTCTTTCCAATTTCTGCTGAAAAGAAATCAGGCAGTGTCACTAGAGAGATGTGTGTGAGTGCTTTACAACATAGGGAGTGTGTTAAGGAAAAGTTCTCTAACTTTATGCCTGTACCTAGGGAGTGACAGTGATTGAAAATAAATCTATGACAATGAAGCAATAGTCCTCTCTCCTGGTAATTCTCCTGGAGATCATACAATAAGTGTGATGTAGTAGAACAGACATGATCTGTCACCTATTAACTATTTGATGATGAGCAAGTTACTTTAACTCTTTGAGCCTCTTATGCTTCAACTTGGAAACTGTCGATTTCATGGGCTCCTTGTTAGACTCTTAGAATGCACTAGATGAAAAGGGCTTGGTACATCAGACGTTTTTCATATACTCCCTTTCCTTCCCAATAGAAAACTGAGAACTGGCTTCAGTGATCTGTCTGGGCCCCTCTACAATACCCATTCATGCGTCATGTTAATTAATCATCCCCCAACTCTCAGTCAGAGTTCTGGATTTTTTTAATAAACTTTTTATTCAGATAAATTTTGGCTCACAGAAAAGTTGCAAAGGCTGAGTTTCTATGTCCTTTGCCCAGTTTCTTTAATGTTAACATCTTTCAAAACCACAGCACACTTGTCAAAACTAAGATTAACATGGGTACTTTTAACTAAAATCCATATTATATTTGAATTTCACCAATTTTTCCACTGGTATGTTTTCCGTTCCAGGATGCAATGCAGGGTATCACATTGCATTTAGTCATTAAGTCTCCTTAATCTTTTCTGGTCTAGGACAGTTTTTTAGTCTTTCCTTAATTTCATGACCTTGAGAATCTTGAACAATATTTCAATAACCAGTCACCCCCTCTTCCCTTTCCTTCCAACATGGAAATGAGGATAATGTGAAGGTGATTTTCTGAATCCTCTTGATTCTTCTCCAGGTCCCAGTGTGTCTGCAAAGTAGAGAACAGGGCATTTCAAAGAGGAATCTACTTTAGGCCACTATCAGTTTCTGGGGTTATCCTAGACCAATTTCTGTCCTCCATGGTCTGCATCCCAATAAGTCTTCCCATATCTGTCACACATTCCTGTTGTCTTTCATGGAAATATTAGAAATGGTATACATTTTTGTCATGTTTCAGATTCTAAAGGTAAATCACTTAATGAGTCTTAACTACATATTATTGAAATACTGACATCACTCTGTAAAATGTTTTCTTTAGCCTTTCTAGCATCTCACTCTGGGAAGCTTTCTTTGCCCTAAAACTAATAGATGACTAATATCAGGTTGTCTCTCAAGTCTGGGATAGAAGAAAAAGTGATAGATGGAAGGAGACAGGTAAAGCCCAATTCCATCTGGTCATTCTAAAATTTACATTACCCAAGAGTCTTTGAAATGATACACAAAATTAGGGTTCCTTTATTCACTGTGCTTTGTCTAGATATTAACTAGGTACTCATGCTATCCTCTAATTGCTTATGTCCCTAAAAGAGTAAAGCATGTGTAAAACTAAACTGATACAGGAAAAAGAATAACTATAAGAAAGAAAAAAAATCAAAATCAACAAACAACTATGAACCAGAGACACACTTTGGTGGGGGGAAGGAGGGCTTGGGGTCAAAATCAGGGGGTTGCAATTGTATGGGGAATATAAAAATAAAAAAATAAAGAAAATAAACTGATACATTACTCTCTACTTCAGTAGATAAATAGTTCAGGTGCCTGATGGGTGGGTCAGGGCTTGAAAAAACAAGAAAATTGAAAGACTGACAATAATGAATTACAGGTAAAATTATAACAATGAATTATGGTATGTGTGGAACAGCTAAGAAAGGGTCTCCACTCTGGTAATTGGTTGTTAGAACTGACTTGTCACTCATCCAAATTCCTCCCAGAAATTTAGTACTAGCAGAAATTTAGTACTCCAGTGTTTTCTTGGTAAGGTGACCCAAATCTTTACTCCTGAAGGATCAGTGTCCTTACTGTTTCTGTCTTAAGTACACCGCCCATTGTTATTGGACAATGATAATGAGGAATCTGCAGTATGTATCCTGAGGTTTAGGCATAGTTCTCTTTGCTCCCATTAGGTACCAGCAACCCAAGCTCTCTACAGCCTCCAAACTGGATGAGCTCTATGTTTATTGATGGAAAGAAAATATTCTGTAGATGAGCTATTAGCTTGGTGGTAACAGGGGCCACCCTTTCTGATTCTGAGGAGTGTATATATACTAGATATGAGCGAAAATGACATTACATAGTAGCTAGTTTTAAGCATTATTCACAATAGCCAAAAGGTGGAAGCCACCCAAGTGCCCATTGACAGATAAATGGATATATATACTATATACACCTATATACATGCAGCATGTCACATGCTACAACATGAATGAATCTTGAGGACATAATACTAAGTGAAATGAGCCAGTCACAAAGGGATTAAATACTACAGGGTTGTATTTGAGACCTGGAATAGTCAAACTCTTGGGGACAGAAAATAGAATGTAGCTGCCAGGAACAGACAGGAGGGTGAATGAGGGGTTACCTGTGTAACAGAACTTCAGTTTGGCAAGATGAAAAGTTCTGAGAATGGATAGTGGTGATGCCAGGTGAATGGATTCAATACTACTGAACGATGCACTTAAAAATGATTAAAATGGCAAAGTGTTCTACCACTTTGAAAAATAAAATTAACCATAAAATAATCAGAATTCCTGTGACAGAAGCACAGGTGGTGCTGTCACCTGCCTTCTCACCACTCACTGGTGGGATACCTGCCTTGGGATCTTGTGGGCTAAATCTCTCCCTTCTCCCCCTTATCTACACCCTCACCCACCATCCGAGTTCTTAAAAGAATCTCAAAAGAAAAATTTCATTTCTGGAAATAGGAAACAAATGACGCACGCGGGGAGAGCCCCACGCACTTTCCCGTCAAACCTCCAGGGAGCAGCTCCACAGGTGGGTTCAGCCTGTGGCTGCGCGGTTAGGACCAGTGTCAAGGCAGCATGAGCCCTCCGTGCAGCAGATCGAATATTTTACCATAATATTTTAGATCAGGAAGACAAGGTGCGGGAGGGGGGGGGCACAAAGCAAGGGCTAAACGTTGTACACTTTCAGCCACAGCCTCCAGGCCCTGGGGGACTGAGTGGATTGGGGGACATCAGAAGCTTCCCAGTCTACCACCCCTGACGCCCCTTTCTGGCCTCCCACTTCCTTTCCCTAAGTCCTTTTCTCCTCCCACCTCCTCGTCTCCCCGCCCCACCCAGTCTCCTCCCTCTTCCCCTTCCCGCACTGACGGGCTGACTGGAAATCGAAAGTGAAAAGAGCTGCCACCAAGGCCAAGTCCCCAGTACGGCTTGCGTCTGCCTGGCTCCACCAAGGGACCCCAGCCTACCCTGAGGGGCCCCTCTGTCCTGCTCCAGATCTGAAGAGCCACTTCCACCCTGTCAGTGGAGACCTCAGTCCCTTTTCCTTCTCAACTCTCCCGAAGTCCCCCAGCTTCTGCCTGGCCCACCTGCCTGGGAGGGGGCTTGGCTGAAAAGTCACCGGGAAGGAGCTAGCAGAGGTAAGAGGTGAGAGCACCTGAGCAGAGGTAAGAGGAGTGGGGCAGGGAGAACCAGCCGGGAACTGCAAGTAAGCCTGAGGGAGGGGAGGGTGGAGGGTAGGTCTGTATTCCTGAGACTCCATCCCCAGAAGTCCCCTCCAGAAGTGAGAGGATGGTTAGGATGTTAAAAATGAAGATAGGTGACAGGCTTCAATCAGCTGAGTGCGGAGCCCAGGGACTGCTGGATCACACATTCCCTTATGCAGACACCCTGTGTGTACACGTGTGATTATATGCTTCTCAGACTAAGGAGTAAAACATGTTCTTATATAGGCATAGTATATACTGTTGCTAAACACCCCCACACACACCTGCACTGTTTGTTTTTTTTAAAGATTTTTTTATTTATTTATACAAGCACTGGGTACAGTCAGAAGCGCGGGAGGGTGAGAGAATTCACCAGAGCGGGGAGCAGAACAGGCAGACTGACGAAATACACTGCTGAGGGGAGCAGCGGGTGCGGCAGGAGAGGTCTGCGCACCATGTGGACCCTCGCCTGCCTGCGGGCTGGGGATCAAAGCAGCCCAGTGCTGCAGAGGCTGCAGACAGCTTTGCTGCCCAGCGATCAACCACTGCACCACCAGGGGAGGCACTCTTCTACACTGTTTTGACTCCCCAATAGCATAAGATGTTATTAATCTGGAGCCTTATATATTATATACTGTATTTTTACAGTAAGGTAAGCTAGAGAAAGAAAATGCTCTGAAGAAAAACAAAGAAGGGCCTCCCTGGTGGCACAAGGGGTTAAGTCGCAGCACTATGAAGTTTGATCCCTGGCCAGGGAGCTACCCACATGGCGCAGCAGACCTCTCCTGACTCGCCCACTGCTCCCCACAGCAGTGTATTTCAGTCAGTCTGCCTGTTCTGTTCCCCACTGTCTCTGGTGGATCCTCTCACCCACCCACCCTCCCACACCTCTGGCCTGTACCCCAGCTCTTGTATGCATAGATAAATAAATCTTTAAAAAAAAAATCATAAGGAAAGCACATTTACAGTGCTGTGTTGTATTTATCAACACTGTCCATTGACTATTTTGAATCCTCACTCTTGTCATTTAGGTTGATATTCTTGTCCTTTGTTTACAGACACATCAGCTCACGCTCCTTCCTGTTTTCCTTTGAATTGTTTTTCTCACACAGTCCTTCTCATGTTCTCTCCCCTCCCCACCCCAGCCCCAGGCCACCACAAGAGCTCACTGAGCTGCATTCCCCATGGCCTCAGAAACGGCCTTGGTGAAGATGTGGGAGGAGGTCACATGTCCTATCTGCCTGGACCCCATGGAGAAGCCTGTGAGCATCGAATGTGGCCACAGCTTCTGCCAGGAATGCATCTCCGAGGTGGGGAAAGACATGGGTGGCGTCTGCCCTGTGTGCCGGCACAAATTCTTGGTCAGAAACCTCCGGCCCAACCTGCAGCTCGCCAACTTGATGGACAACCTTAGACAGATGGGCCAGAATACCAAGGAGGGCACGCAGGGGGAGAAGTGCGGCGTGCATGGAGAGACGCTTCACCTGTTCTGTAAGGAAGATGGAAAGGCCCTTTGCTGGGTGTGTTCCAAGTCCCGGAAACACCGTAACCACCTCCTGGTCCCGATAGAGGAGGCTGTTCTTGAGTACCAGGTGAGGTCTTCCAAAGGCGCTGGGGCCTCGGTGAACACCCTGTTCCCTAGAGCTGAGGGTGGACGCCACCTGTGGGAACGAGGGGTTGTGGGTAAGTCTCCCACCTTCCATGTCTAAGAGGAGGGACTGCGGGCTCAGCACTACCTGCTCATGCCCCTGGGGCAGGGGATATGCTGTGGGAGACGCTGCAAGGATCATATTTCCTTGTGGCCTCCTGGTTAATCAGGAACATGTAGTGCTCCCATCCCTGGGTGGTTGTTTCATAAGAAACACCCGGCTTTTTCCAGAGTCTTCCTATCTACAAATCCAGACTCGAGCCCTCCCTCCTTCTCTGCACTGACTTTTCTAAGAACCAGTATGATCTCACGCAATCCCAGCCCACTGAGGTGTGGGGCACTAAACTGCTATCTTTCTCTGCAGGAGAAGCTGCAGACAGCATTAGTGAAACTGAGAAAAGAGCAGGAGTTGACTGAGAAGTTGGAAGTGGACATCACAACCGAGAAAGCAGCTTGGAAGGCAAGAGTCATTTCCTGAGGGGAATCTTAGATCAAAGCCTGGGCCAGGCACAGGGTCCCAGACTCAAAATCCCCTCCATACCGAAAGCCTGTGTAAGTGACAGTCGGTACCCCTCACCCTCCAAGAATCCAATGTTTCGTACGACTCCGGATCAGGGGGAGCAAAAAGGGTGTAATTCTAATAAGGTGGAGATGGAGTCTTCGGAGAAGGTGCTGAGACAACCCCCACCCTAAAGCTTCTGCACCTCAAGCCCAGTCTTAGAGGCTGACAGCACCAGTGCCTCTGTATCTGGCATGAGGTATCCCAGGAGAGGTCCCCAACTACAGGCCTGGCAGGAAATGGTAAGGTCTGTGAGGGACACACTTAAGGAACCACCAAAGCCTGAGGTAGAAGAACCAGTCTGACCAGTTGCTGGGCCACTTTCAGATCACTGGTCCAGAGTGTAATGAAGGGTTACAGCTGCTCTGACCAGTGGTCTGGAGGGGACCAGGCAGGGATTAGAGATGGAGCTCATGACACGTAGATCCCAGGTGAGGAAGGTTCGGGACTAGGGAAGGGTGAGCGGCTGTGGTGGCACAGGGGTCTTCCTGCGTCATCAGGTGACCCTCCCATCAGTAGCAGGAGAGGACAAGCAAAGAATATCTCAAAGATGCTTTCCTCAGGATTAGGGAAGCTTTGAGGCCCTGTTTTTATGAAGTTGTTGGGTCTGGGGTCAGGTGTTGACTCTCTCAGTAACTCACTCAGATATGCAGACAAAGGGGTAGATGTGGGTAGTCACTGGGTTTTGAGAGAGGTTGAGGAAAAGTCTGATACTATAGGTTGATGCAGCTACAGGGCACCCCCAACATCCCCATTCCCCTCTTAGTCCCAGAAGTCCCTCCCACCTGCCTCTCCAGCAAAACTATGGGGGGAGTGGGGGCGGTCTTCCCAAATAGAACCAGAATGATGATTCTACAGGGAATAGAAATAGGTATGGACACTTATTCCCAAAGTTTTGGAGGCTTTGATAAAAAGCACCTCTCTTTCCATGGACACCACAGAGGAAAGTAGAGACACACAAATTGAGGATTCATGCAGAGTTTGAGCAGCAGAAAAATTTCCTGACTAAGGAGGAACATCGGCAACTGCAGAAGCTCGAGCAGACTGAGAGGGAACAGCTGAGGATCCTGGGGCAGAAAGAGATTGAGCTGACCCAGCAGAGGGAGGCCCTGCAGGAGCTCATCTCAGAACTGGAGAGGCGGAGTCGAGGCTCAGCGCTGGAACTGCTGCAGGTGAGTCTGGGGAGAGTCTTCCCCTGAAGTTCAAGGATTGACTTAAAAGAGCCAGAGCTGGAAACAAGAAGTGACCTTAACCTATCTCAGAATATGCTCATGCCATCTTGTCCCGACCCACAAGGGTCCTGAGTAAAGGTGCTGCTTTTGTCCTGTTTTAAAAAAAAAAAAAAGAGCCAGCCCATTCTGGAGCTACCATTAAGACATTTGGAAACTGAGGCCCAAATTCCAGTTTGTTTTAGAAAATAAATAATAAACACAAAGAAATTACATAAGCCACTCAGGGAACCAGAGAGGTTTATAATAAAGGCATGGAAAGTACAGATTTAGGAGGAAATATTCCATTCAGCAATTAAATGAGCTTGGTAAATTTTGCTTCTGCCCAACATTCAGCCAAGCTTTCTAGTATACTTTGACTATGCCCAGGAGCCTGCCAATTCCCAGGCCAGGTCCTGCAACAGAATGTCCTCAGATGGTTTGATTTTACATGAGGAAAAATATGAACCACCTCATAGGACATAGTTTTAACTAACCAGCACTGCCTCCCATGTAACTCAAGTCCATGAATGAAGAAGAGAAATTACTATGCATCCTGATTTGGTTTTTTTTTTTCCTCTGTGATGGTCTCTGGAAAGGGGCAAATAGCCCATGCTGACTGAGGCACTCTCCCCAAATATCTGGGCCCCATATTTTTTTTTGTCAGAGTCCTTCCACTGGTTTTCTTTTCCCTGGTTATAGGCCACCCACACTAGATTTCTGGTTATCACACAAGTAGCCATATATTCCTTCTGGTCCAACCTTGCCAGAAACATCTTTCAGGCTCTGGCCCAGAGGAATAGGGGAGAACTTGTAGTGATAGGCATCACCCACAAGACCAAAGTCTTTAATAAAAACCAGTGACTCCATAACTTACTCTCCCTCTTTTTTTTTTTCCTTAGGAGGTGAAAAATGTTCTAGAAAGGTAAGGAGAGCTTTTCTTTATTAAAGGGGGTGGCAGGAAGCATACACACCTGTGAAAAAGGTAATTGAGTTAGAAAAACATGACATTTCCCACATCTTCCTGCCAATCCTCAAAGACCTGCTCCTCCATAACATATTCCTTTCTCAGAAGGACAATTAATGGCCATCTCACCTCGATTGGTGAATTGTCCAAAGTAAATGGATAACATCTTCACAAAGTGAAGCCCTAACAGGAAAATTCTGGGATGTTCTGAGTATACACCTGCTGGAACATCTTTAAAATTAATCTAACCAGTTATTATATAAACTTACCAGAAAGAGCCGTGAGTAAAACCTGCCACCTGATTGAAACTCCTTGGTTTCCTCACACAAGTGATTCAACCTATATAGTCTGCTTGCGAAGTGAAACAAGCCTGTGGTAACCTCAGTCATAGAGAGGAGACAGATTACCCATATGCTTCAGAGTCCATGTGACCAGTACGCAGATAAGAACTAAATACTCCCAGTACTCAAGAAACCTAACCTAGGAGGTAATTGTAAATGTCCATTGAATTAAAGAGTCATCACCCACAGGGAGGTTATAGTATTAGGGTACAGGAGGCTGGGGTAGAAGTTGGAGATAGGGTCTCTAATTCTATTTGCCCTAGGAGTGAGTCCTGGAGCCTGAAGGAGCTGGACATTGCCTCCCCAGACCTGAGGAACGTGTGCCATGTGCCAGGGCGGAAGGACATGCTGAGGACGTGTGGAGGTGAGGCTAGTGCCAAGAGTGTGGGACAAGCCTGTTGGGACCATCAGGGGATGAAGAGGGGCAGTGTATTCCAGGTCAGGGAAAGATGAGTTTGGCAAATTTAAGTTCAGGACAAGGGCTGGAGCTGACCGAGTGTCCTTTCCTCACCCTGAGAGGTTCAGGGTCACGCTTTCATTCTCCTCCCCTATCGCAGGCACAGAAGTACTGATTCCCCACACTGCCCCTTCCTGACTGTGGTTCTCTCTCTGCAGTGCACATCACCCTGGATTCACACACGGCCCACTCATTACTCATTATTTCGAAGGATCAGAGACAAGTGAGGCTTGGGGAGACCCCACAAGCAGTGCCTGAGAATGAGAAGAGATTTGATAGTTATCCCATAGTTCTGGGTGTCCAATGCTTTGATTCTGGAAAACTTTACTGGGAGGTGGATGTGACAGAAAAGGATGCCTGGGACCTGGGGGTTTGTAGAGACTCCGTGAAGAGGAAGGGAAATTTTTCACTGAGTCCCGAGAATGGCTTCTGGACAATTTGGTTATGGAACGAGCATTATGAGGCTGGTACCTCCCCCTCAACTTCCCTCCACCTTCAAGTACCTCCATGCCAGGTTGGGATCTTCCTGGACTGTGAGACCAGCACAGTCTCCTTCTACAACATTACTGACCACGGCTCCCTCATCTATAGTTTCCATGAATGTGACTTTGCTGGACCTGTGCGGCCCTTCTTCAATACTGGTTTCAATGATAAAGGAAGAAATGCAGCACCTCTGACCCTCTGTCCACTGAGGGTGTGATGGTCGTGGTCCACTGCCTGCTGTGGCCCTTTCTACACACTGATACCCTCTCTGTTGGCACCCTTCATTGCTACAGCATTCTTCCATGAGATAAACTTTTAGATGGGTTTGGAGCTAATATATCAAGCAAAACATGTTTCTGCCTTCTTTATATGACTCAAGTTTTGGGTGGTTTTTTGTTTTGTTTTGGTCCTTTCCATCTCCTGTACTTTGGCATGGTTTGCAAAAGGTCTTCCTAGATACAGAGGGCTTCAAATCAATCCTTGTCTTGTTCTTGTACACATTTAGGATCGTCCTTCTAACATGTACACATCTGATCATAAGTGATATGATCAGTCGTGATCAGGTGGCTGTTAGAGTATAGTTGGAGGCTCTGGGAACTGCCTAAAGAGTTCTGATTTAACAATGAGGGCACTCCTTATTTAGGAAGACAGAGGCCTCCTCGGGCTGGCCTAGCTCTCTGGTCCACAACTCTGACCCTCACAGTCCTGAGATGCCTGGTGTTGGTGTGTTCAATAGCTTGACCAGTAACAATGTTCAAGTACCTGAAACTCTGACCAAGAAAGGTCCAGGCTTAATGCCCATCCCTAATTTCAGTGTTCTTTTCAGCAAATGGCAAATTCCTGCTCCCCTGGGCACACAATTCTGATATCATTCCTTCTGAAATTTCTTTCTTATGGAAATACTGACTTTTGCTGATTAAATGTTGCCTCCATTAAAAAAATAGAGGAAGGGGGTGTGAATGCAGTATTGGTAACCAACAGCCTGGAATTGAAAACTGAAAGGGCCTATGTTCAGAGAAGCAGTAAGCTCTGGAGATCAGAAAAACTCCTTTCAAAGGATGCAAACAGGATTACTTGCGTTGGGACCCAGAGGAGAGGTAGCAGTTGAAGTTTACGGACTGTGAATGAGTTTCATTTCTTGAGCCTGAGGAATTGCTAAGAAGGCAGGAGCCAGCTGGAACTCACTCTGGGAAAAACACACTGGCAAGTGCCATTTATTATATATATATATCTCCCTGGCATGATATGACCAGCAGAAGTGGAAGCTAAAGTTAGCTAGCACACATAGCCAAAATTAAGCCACAGGAAGGCTCGTGCATATACCTGATGGCAGCTTTGCTGAGCCACCCAGCCCTGTGCATTCACACTACAACAATATTCCTTAAGCTGAGGCAAGAAAGCAACATCCTAGGCTCATTAAAACATAATGTATGCCTGCCTCATTTGCTACAGCATTGATCAACAGCATTGATCACCAAGCACAGACAGAGGAACCTGTATTTCTGGGCACCACTAGACAGTAACAATGGAAGAGACTGTTCTTGACAGCTACCCCAGGGCACTGAAGAGGCTCATGGAACCAATACAGAGAAATAAACACTAGGAAAGCAAAATGGGAAAACAGGAATACTTTTCAAACAAGAGAATAAGACACACAAGCATAAATCTTAGGCCCTAAAAAACATACCAGAGGGGAAGAGGAAGGAGGATGGGAGCAATGGATAAAGGGGGTCAATTTGATTTGATATGAAAGCAATAGAACATCAGTGGTGAATATAGTAAGGTATATACACCCAGAGGTGTGAAGCTGTACTCCCAAATTTAGAGTTTTGTAAACAAATGGTAAATCAATAAAGTGTGATTAAAAATAAAAGCCATGGAGAAAAACTTCAATGAACTGGATATAAGTAGTTGATCTAATAGATTTCAAAGTAATGGCCATAAAGATGATCACTGATCTCAGAAGAATGGGTGAACAAAATAAGACCTCCAAAGATGACAAAGACTAGAGAAGAAATTTCCTAACAATTTATAAGTTGAAGAATACAAAAACAACTAAAAATACATTGCAGGGCTTATACCCAAACTCGAGAAACAGAAATAGACGTGCAAATTAGAAGATAAAGTAATGGAACTCACACAGAACAGCTAATAGAAACATGAATTTTAAAAAACTTTCTTTTAGAAAAATACCGGATGGTCTCACTCATAGCAGGAATTTAGAAAACCTAAATAAGGGACCAGGAAAAAAACTAATACAACGTAAAAAGCAAAATCAACAAGCAACTCTAAACCAGAGACACACAATGGGGGTGGGGGAGGGAAGGGGAGAAGAAGGACTAGGGTCAAAATAAGGGGGGGTGCAATTATATGGGGAATATAACCAAAATGATAATGCATACATTGTGCAAAATTGAAAAATGATATAATTATATAAAATAAAATATTAATAAAATTTTAAAAAGGGAAAAAACTTTCTTTTAACGGAAACATGAAAAACATCGAGCAAAATAACATTAAAATTATAGAAGTACCAGAAATGGAAAAGAGGAAGAGGTAGAAAAGCTGTTTGAAGAAATAGTGACTGACAACTTCCCTAACCCCGAGAAACACACAGATAGAGTCTATTAAAAGCAGCCAGGGGCCTCCCCTGGTGGCACAGAGGTTGAGCACTGGGCTGCGAAGCTGCCCACAGCCTCTGCAGCGACGGTTCGATCCCGGCCGCCGGGCGAGGATCCCACACGGCACACAGACCTCTCCTGCCGCCTGCTGCTCCCCTCAGCAGTGTACTTTGGTCCTTCTGCCTGCTCTGCTCCCCGCTCTGGCTCTGGTGAATTCTCTCACCCTCCCACGCTTCTGACTGTACCCAGTGCTTGTATGTATGTATGTATACATAAATAAATCTTTAAAAAATAAAAGCAGCCAGATAAAAACAAATTATAAGCTACAATAAACCTCCCATAAGGCAGTCAGCAGTTCTTTCAGCAGAAACTCTGCAGGCCGAAGGTACTGGCATGGGGGCCTCCCTGGTGGCGCAAGGGGTTAAGACAACCTATGAAGCTGTGCGCAGCCACTGCAACATGAGTTCGATTCCCCGGCCGGCCAGGGAGGTGACCCACATGGCACAGCAGACCTCTCCTGACTCGTCCACTGCTCCCCTCAGCAGTGTATTTCAGTAAGTCTGCCTGTTCTGCTCCCCACTCTGTCTCTGGTGAATCCTCTCACCCCCTGCATCTCTCGCCTGTACTCCAGTTCTTATATGCATAAATAAATAAATCTTTAAAAAAAAAAAAAAGGTACTGGCATATCTTCAAAGTATTGAAAGGTAAAAACTTCCAGGTAAGAATACATTACCTGGCAAGTTATCAATCAGAACTGAAGTGAAAATAAAGAATTTTACAGACAAAAACTAAAAGATTTCATCCTCAATAACTCACAAGATTTATTAAAAGGACTTCTATAATTTTTTTAATGGCACTTATTAACATAGGAAAAGGGAAATCTCATTGACAAAAGTAAATATAGTGAAGATAGTGGATTAAGCATATATCAATATAAAGATAATGAAGGATAAAAGACAAAAGAGCACTATTAAAACCACTACTTATTTTAGAAAATTGATCAAGTAACATGTTTCATGTGGCTTATCTAAGCCCTTCTGCACATCTAAACTTGGAGTTAATCGAGTGGGGGAACATCTGGGTTATGCCCTTTTTTTAAATGGTTTTCTTTAGGGATTCTTAGCATGTTGTGGTTGAAGTGTGGAGCTGTAACTCTATGTGGACTATGGGTAGTCAAAAAAATGCCCTTAAAATTTGCACTGTTATAAAATGGGTGTACTATCCAGGTACTCATGCACTATTTTTGGTACTGCTGGTTCTATACCAGAAACATTTTCTTTTATTGTTACTTGTTTTTCAAACCTCATTTTAGCCACTGAAAGAAAATCTGCTTATGGGACAATTTGCCTCAAAGCCATTCCAAGTTGCATATTTGTTTTCCAATTAAAAAAAAATACAATGAGGGCCTCCCCGGTGGCAAAGCGGGTTGAGCACTGCTCTGTGAAGCTGTCCACAGCCTCTGCAGCGTGGGTTCGATTCCCAGCTGGCCAGGGAGAGTCCTGCATGGCACGGCAGACCTCTCCTGTCTCACCCGCTGCTCCCCTCAGCAGTGTCTTCAGTCCGTTTGCCTGTTCTGCTCCCAGCTATCTCCGGTGAATTCTCTCACCCTCCTGCGCATCTGACCTGTACCCCCATTCTTGTATAAATAAATCATATAAAGGACAGAAACACTAAAATTTAACAACTATGTCTTAATTTTCTGATATTGGTCATAGAAGTTTTTTTTATTTTGTCTAGCTTTGAAAAAATAGATGTAAAATGTGTAATTTAAAAATCTAGGAGGACCTCCCCTGGTGGCGCAGCAGTTGAGCACTGGGCTGCGAGGCTGCACGCAGCCTCTGCAGCGCAGGTTCATTCCCCGGCCGCCAGCGAGGGTCCCACCAAAAAAAAAAAAAATCTAGGAGAAAACCTCAGAAAAATGTTAAACTGAAGAAAATAGCTTAATATTAAAACAATAAAACCCACATAGAAAAAAATATTTTATGTATTTCTTTAGGTAAAACAACCAAAAATTACAGAAATATGGCCTAAGAATATATTTTCAATAAATAATATTGGGGAAGTTATATATTCATGCTGAAAAACGGAAATAGAAACAATTTTTAGTCGATTTAAAGATTAAATAAGTAAGGTATGAGGAGTTTTGCACAGTTTCAATAAATGGTTGTTATTAATCACAAAGAAAAACAATATCCAATAAGTACCAAAAAATGTACGTGTCTGTTAACTAAATAAATTCAAATAAAGGACAATGAAAAATTATTTTGCTTTACATATGGCAACTTTTTAAATGGAACTATTTGATAAATGCTAGTATTGATTCAATAAATTTTGGCACTAGTGTATTTCTAACAAGAATAAGGCTTATAATTTATCTAGATACAATTTTCCAATGTGCCAGAGGAATCTAAAATCTTTAAACCCTCACCTAGTAATTATGCTTAGTTAAAATCATGCAAAATTTAATGCACAAAAAAGCCCAATCTTGTGCACGAAAGTATCCCTAGAATGACTATTATGTTTTTCTCAACATTATTGATATAAGTACTAAAAGATAAAAGGTTGAACACTGCCTTATCTAAGTGTAAATTAGAATTTTTAAAAGCATGCTTTTTAAATAAAGAGATAAAATAGCCTTTAAAGTTATTATAGATGTTTTTTAATGTATTATAATGGCTAAAATACAGTTCTGTGTGATAATGTTGGATTACAGAATCATGTCTAAGTTTAAATATGCATGTACAGTTATAGTTGTTAGAGTTGTAATTATACATAAATTCTGGAAGTATAACACCAAAATAACATTAAATTTCTAAGTAGTGGTATTATGTGCAAATTTAATTTTAATTTTATTTCCATAGTTTCTCTATGGAATATTTATATAAAATGAAGCAAATGTTTTCAAAAGAAGTATCAACAATATATAGTATTAACACAGAGAAAGTAGTAGCTCATCTTGAGAGAAGGTATTTATAATGACCTCTCTGTGTTGGTGTCCCCATGCTGAGCCTTGAAAGATGATGAAAATACATTAAAAAGTCAAAGAAAGAAGAGGTCATGCCATGCAAATCGATCACTTTTTTAAAATGCACCAAGACACTTTAGAACATATAGAAATACACCATTCCTTGACACTGAAGCACAATTACCTGAAAGTGATATGGAAATTGTTGCTGGAAAGGAAGTCTGAATTTATTCTGTACCATGTTGAGTGGAGTGATCCTTAAGAAACAATTTCAAAAAAGTCAAAAGTTAATAGCATAGTGAACTAAACAGTCACTTGTCCAAGGAAGAAACAATTGGCCAACAGGCACATGAAAAAATGTTCATTATCACTTGTTGTTAGGGAAATGCAATTCAAACACAAGTACACTGGTGAAGGTAATTCTATGGGGACTACACCTGAGAGGTGGGGGCAAAAAATGAACAATGTAAAAAAATTAAAAATAAAATAAAATGAACAATGATGAAAAAAAATTAAAAGAACAAAAAATATATATATTAAAAAACACCACGATGAGCTACCACCTTACTCCTTGAAAATGACCCATATCAAAGAGACCAGAAACAACTGCTGGTAAAGATGTAGAGAAAAAGGAACCCTATTACACTGTTGGTGGGAAAGATACCACCTTAGTGGAAAACAGTATGGAGGGGCCTCAAAAACTTAAATATGGATCTGCCTATTACCCAGCAAATCCACTCCTAGATTATCTTACCCAAAGAACACAAAACACTAATGCAAAGGGAAACCTGTAAACTCATGTTCATAGCAGCACTATTTGTAATAAGATATGGAAACAACTTAAATGTTCAAAAACAGAGGAGTAGATCAAGAAGATTTATTTATACACAATAAAATACTGCTCAGCTATCAAAAAAGACAAATGCAACATGGATGGAGTGGGAAGGGATTATGATAAATGAAAAGTCAAAAGGAGATAGACAAAACTGGATGATGTCACTTATAAGTGGAATATAGAGAAATCACACAAAGGGTTAGATAAAACCAAACTTTAAAACTAACCCCTGAAAGCTGATTATAGGACTGAGTCCATAGGGGGCAATGGGAAGGGTGATAACAAAGTGGGGAGAGAGCACAATGGACCATGATGATGGACTACAGGTGCTTTGGTGGTGGGCGCACCACAGTAATAACAGAAACAGGGGGTGGGGAGCAAGGTGGGGCAGGGGTGGCAGCCTCTACTCCCAAAGTATAAACAACTTAAACCAGCATTTCCTCAAAAAAGAAAAAAAATTTTAAAGTATAGTTCTCTTGACATCCTCTTAATACCTATCATACTTAGAGAAAGCAGATGAAGGAACGCAGGTTTTACATGGGCTGCCGGGGATGTGGTGATATGTCTCAGAGCTATAACCCAAGACAGAAAACTTAGGATTTATCAAAACAAGATCCTGAATATAACATTGACTATTCCCAGAGTTGAGTTGAATTTTACAGAGTAAGACATGACTACTAAAGACTAACCTGTTCCTTCCCCAACTCAGGATCTGTAATTATCTCAGTTAACCTACAGATACTGTGTTCAGACAGATTAGAGAGACAAGTCTCAGTTTCAGGGAAGTTGTTCCAGAGACCCATAACACAATGAGACCTATTTCCTAGTGACTCAACTCTAGCTCCCTTGTTCACTGCTGCCAAAGCATAGCT